TTCGGTCGCGCTGGATCCTCGTAGCCTGATAATATTGCGTGTGAATTAATGCACTTTTTCCACTCGACCAATTGCGCGCGGATTAATTATTTATCGATCATGAAACGGAGTTTTCATTGGAACGGCAAATTCGACATAATTGAATCGATAATCGACTTAGCGTTTTCACGCTAATGAGCATCCTTTAAATCGCCGTGTTAAGGATTTATCGCGAAGAATATTATCCCAGCCGGGACACGAATGTGGACCTCCCTCCAACCCGTGACGGGCGTCTTCGCTAATTCGATCATATATGTATGTTACCCCTTGGGCGACGTGATATTTTTCGCAGTAAATTCTTTACAGTGATTCAAGGGATCCTTATTAGCATCGACAACCTAAATCGATTATCGACTTAATTGCCTTGAACCCACTGTGTTTCAAGACCGACAAATAACTGGCGCGATTTAATTAAATCAGGTTGGTAAGCTAAGATAAAGGTGTAGCGGATAAACGGTTAACATTTTTAATGTACGATTAAGTAATTTGTAAAAGTTCAAAAAACTCTCATAAAGTTCTTCAAAATGCCATGTTGTCCCATTTATTAGTGAAATGTATGGTAAAATTTAAAAAAACTCACAAGTTCGTAAAAATATCATGTTGTCCCACACATTTTACTAGTAAAATTTATACTAAATATAATTACTAGTAAAATATATGGTAAAAGTTCAAAGAACTCTCAGAAATTTCTTCAAAATGTCATGCTGTCCCATACATTTTACTAGTAAGAGTTTTCTTTTAAAATGTACCCTCTCTGAAATTCGTGTAATCGTGGGACAACATGGCATTTTGAAGAACTTAATGAGTTTTTTGGAATTTTGCTATGCATTTTACTAGTAAAGTGTACTCTAAAAGTAAATCAGTGGATTATCACTGAAAACATTGAATATTCACTGATTCACTATACCACTGAATTATTCAGTGCTGTACTTATAAATGTTTTCAGTGATAACGTACTGAATGACTTTTAGAGAGTATACTAAGTATATATAATTACTAGTAAAATGTATGGTAAATTTTCAAAAAACTCACAAGTCCTTCAAATTGCCACATTGTCTCGCGATCGCATAATTTTCAGGATAAAGTTTAAGGGAAAATTCTCCCTGCGTAGAAATTGAAAACAGAATAATTATCACTTCAAGTATATACCCGGGAAAAAATTTTCACATATGATCATATATAATCATATATGCTCATATACGAAAAATGTCCATATATGAGATACCATATGTATCATATATGAACGTACATGATAATGTGTTTGTCATATATGACAGTATATATGACAAATACATTATCATATACGATCGTATATGATAATGTGTTTGTCATATATGACAGTATATATGACAAACATGTGCATCATATATGATCGTATATGATAATGTATTTGTCATATATACTGTCAT